GGTTACAAGTTGGAGCTATTCTAGAACGGAATTATCGAAAACCCCCTTATAATGATTTACACTAAAATTTATTACCTTTTGAAAATTATAAACATATATAAGTCATATCTACTTATGTATTGACTTTGAAATAAATATTACTTACAATAAATGAAATAAACAAAATAATTTTATTGATATTTACAAAATATTTTAATAACATAGTAATCCTTTTTGCATAGAAAAAGAGATAAGAAAATATCGAAAATTAAATAAACATTTCGCGTATAAGTTATGTAATTTGATTTCTAAATATAATATTCACAAATAATAAAACATGTGTTTAAAATCAGCAAAACTAATATTATTGGACCTAAAATTTTGCGAAAGTATTTGATAATAAATGTGTGTGTACATGTACATACATATGTATTATTAAATATTTTTGAAAGAGGTTTTTAGTCAATTTTTTTTAATTTCCTTAACTAATACAATGCGCAAATACAAAGTACAAAAAAAAATTTACTTGTAAATTTTCTTGAAAAAAAAATATTAATTTTTTCAAACACATTATGTACTTAAGATGTTAGAAAATATAAAAATTTTACAATGTATTGCTAGATATTTTTAAACTCAAAATAAATTTGTCATTTGGATCGAATTCAATTTTTAGAAAAACGTATGTACTTAAATATTTTCAGGTCATTTTTTGTTTGTCTCTGTTGTTTTTTATTTGTCAAAGGTATTTAAACGTGATTTTTTTTTCATTTTTCGTTCTTCATTTAAATAAACGTGAAGTATTTTATAAGAATTCACTTAGCCGAATCGAGAAAAATCTCTTTGATAGTCAAAATAAAAGTTTAAATTAGATACATATTTGGGAAGGTTAATTGTAGACGAAAAACCTTTTCAGTCTACAATGTTTTCAGGAAAGAATGTAAACAATAGAAAAATAAAACTAAACATAGATAAACATTTGATTTTATTTTCAAACTTTTATTACAAAATCAAACAGATGATCAAATTGTGGGTGTGATACTGACAACTAAAAATTTTCTTTTATACAAATTTATGTTTGTTTATTCTAATATTACATATTATACATACATATATGCATGTGATTTACATTGCTGGTCAGACTAACAATTTTTAGATTGTTTATATCCAAAATATATTCAAATATTGTTATGTATATGTATATACATATTTATATACAGCACATAGAAGAGAAGTAAAAGCCAAAATCAATTCAAAATTTATCTGAATAGATACATACATACAAACATACATGCAGGCAGGCAATCTATTTTTTTGTTTTGTCAAAAATTCAGGGTTAAAACTTTCAGGTGTAGCGATTAATATTCGGTATTTCGAATTCCTAAGGAAAATGAAAGTATTTTATTTTTCTAAATAACTAAATTCTATTTAGTTAATTTATTTATATTACATTGACGTAAAAAAATATTCACACATGCACCTTATACGTAACAACAAACAAATAAAACTTATTATTATAATTTTATGACTCATCTATTCTAAATTTTGAAAGAAATTAGTTTTCTAGTGACAACATAAATATTGCATATATGTATGTAAATTATTTATGTATATGAATCAAAAAAAAAAATTAATTAAAAATAAGTTTTTAATGTTCATACATTTATGCTTCCTAAAAACTGTGAAAAAAATATTTCTCTTATTTTATGCATATGTATGCAAAATGTGGAAAATATTTTTGTTTGAGAAGAAAATATTATATGTACATACATACATATGTCGATAATTCTTCTTTATATTAGCATATCAGTTTTTATAGTCTGTATTATGTATGCCCTGAAAACTTCTATTTTTAATTTAACCACAATAAATTTTTTAGTTCACAATCGTAGTAAAACACTCGTACAAAATTCATATAGTAAACACTAAAAAACTTAAAACTAAGGGTTTTAACTAAGCCATACATTCTTGACAAATTTCATAATATTATAAATTAGTCTAAATAAGTTTAAAATTAAAAACAAAAGTACAATATTATTATGTAATGAGAAAGTTTATTTTTTCATTTTCTCTAAAAATTTTAAATTGTGTTAAAATTTAAACATTCACATTGCTTACACGAAAGTGCTGAAAAAGAATATTTCAGTTTCTAAAATTGAATTTTGAGGTTTTTTTGAAAAATATTTGAAAACAATAATATTTTTCAATTATGTTCCAGATTACATTGTTTCCAATTGCAGTAAACGAATTTGTTTCAAAACAAAAAAAAAACTTAAGCATAAGAAAATATAAAGAGATAATTTAAGGTTTTTTCTTGTATGTACTTATTTTCAGTAAAAAAACTAAAATTTTTTATACATACATATGTATGTATGTATATAAGATTTTAATACGTGTACAAAAAATCTTGTTTTTTAGAATATGCAAATGTTAAATTGTTATTATTTTGATATTTCCACATTTTTCTTAAAAAACCGGAATTAATACAAATTTTGTAGTTAAATAACATATCAATGTATATCTTTGTAAATAGTATTTTTCAAAAAGGCTAATATTAAATTCTAGAGTTTAAACCAGTGTTTCTCAACGGTGGCCAGCCCATGGGCCACAAAATAAATAAAGTTGAGGGACAGCTGAAACTTCTTAATGGGGTCACAAACATTTTTTATTGAAAATTTGTTTATGGAGATAGATAAATTAAAGAACACTATTAATTAGGAAACACACCAAGCGAACAAAATGTAAACTAACACCGAGCGAACATTTGCGCTGATTGCACTTATATTTTCTTCTATAAAATTTGTATCAGACACAGTTATTAAAAGGCACCAAAAATACATTTGTAAATTACGATCTTCAAATTATCTATATCAATTTTTTTATCATTTTGTGAGTGTTATTTTGAAACTCTTATTTAAATATTATTAAATTTACTTCGACAAAAAGCATGCTTCACAGTTAAATATTTCAAGTTCATAAGATGTCTATCACTGAAATGAATCTTATGAACTTGAAAAATGAATTAATTTGCAAGAGGCGCGATGATCTCACTTAATAAAACTTTTTAACGAGACCCTTAAGAAATATTATAGAACAAGAAATAATATTTGTATATACACATATGCTAGATGAAACAAATTTATGTAAATAAAATTTCTTGAAATAAACCAAAAATTAAAAAGTAAGTGCTTTTTTTTACAATTAGGATTGGGCGGTTACACGAAATAGCTTTTAAGGACTGGTCTAGAGTTTAAGATGACAATATAACAAAGTATTCTTATTAATCCTGTAAAGAATTGCACAAATTTCTTTAAATATAAAAATAATAACAAAAAACTTTTATTTTTGCAATCTATAACAACAGAGTAAAAACAGTATTATCATTATCTACTTATTTGAAATTAATTAACAACACTTATATGGCACATAAAAATGTATGTATGTATATATGTGTTTGTATATTAAATTATAGACTTTCAAATGGGATTCAATATTTTTAATGGACATTTGAGAAAAACGAGTAATCTGTATCAGATTTTTTAGAACCAAATACTATGTGACAAAATAAAACGCACAATGTGAAAAAGAGAATATGTATTTCGCTTGTTGAAGAAGCGAGGAATATTATACATAGCATTATACATGTAGTGTATATTGACATTTCATTCTGCTTTTCTTCTTTTTTTTATTATATTTTTTTATAGTTATGTTTTATAGAAATTACAATTCATATTTAAAAAAATCTTATCAGTTCCTTCTCTTAACATAAAACAAATTTTTCAAGAAAATGCATTGGATTTGACCCAATCCTTTATAGTTGTAGTCCTTTGTAGGCTTACTAGTGTTACATGAAACGTATATTGTATAAATGCACTTCTTGAGGTCGATAAAATAATATTAAAGCAAGTAAAAACGTTTCAGTCGATATAGACCAACTAAATAATACCCTGCACTTTGATAATCTGAGTTTAAAAATTTGTTTTTGAAATATTTAGGAATAACTTTGATTGCTATATGGCAATTACTTAAACCTGTCAAACCATTCAAGAGAAACTTCACGGATTTTATGTCTGACCGACTGAAACGAGTGAACACACGACGGCCGAGTTTCATGAATCTAAATATTTTCTAATGAAGTCTTAATATTTTTCTAAATATTTAAAATCGATCGGACGAACAGGCGGACAGACATGTCTAAATCAACGCAGAATTTTACGCTGAGCAAGAATATATACATATATATATATATCCATACTGGAGACGATTCCTTCAAAGTCAAACTTGGTTACAAACTCCATACCATAGTGAATATCCCCTTCACGAAGGGTATATTCACTAGGTATGGAGTGAAAATTTAGATAAAATATAGAATTTAAGAATAGCTAATAAAAATTGAACAAATTTATTGTGTGCATACTCACACAGTCGTTATTTTTATGTATTTTATTTTGGCTGGTACTTGTTACATGATAACGACTTGTATTTGTATACCCTATCTGATTTTCATAATACTTAGTTTTCTTAAAACTTTTGCACTTTTTGTTTGCACTTGATACACTATAAATGTTTTAATTTAGAAAAAAACACTACAAATATTAGTGGTAAAGGAACATATGTAGTTTAATATTTTGATATGATCCATAATTAAAAATAATTAAGAATGACTTAGTTATGTTTTTATAATTGTGTTTACATAAGTAAATTTATGTAGACGTTACAAAATATGAATAATTTCTGAACGTGTATTTACTTGGTTGCATATCAGTTTCATAATTAGGATCAATCTAGATTAAGTTTTTATTATTGTCAACGTTTAAAATTAAGAGAAAAATTCCAACAAAAGCTTACAGCAAACACAAGCAAACATGAAGTCGAATTGTATACCATTTTTCTGTGAAAAACACTTGTTGCACAAAAAAATAGTTTGGCAAATTTAATTTAAATGAATATTTATTAAAAAAAGCTAAAAATTAAATTATTATTAAAATTATTAACACATGTATATTTTTTCTATTACTTTTTAGGTATTCGTTACTCAATGGATGTATGTCGAGATGAAGTTAAAGCCTTGTCAGCTCTAATGACATTTAAATGCGCCTGCGTTGATGTACCTTTTGGCGGTGCCAAAGCTGGATTACAAATTGATCCAAAAAAATACTCTGAACATGAATTAGAAAAAATTACACGCAGATTTGCGTTGGAATTATCAAAAAAACATTTTATTGGCCCTGGTGTTGATGTACCAGCTCCAGATTATGGTACTGGTGAAAGAGAAATGTCATGGATCGCTGACACATATGAAAAAACTGTAGGATATTTGGATATTAATGCATCCGCGTGTGTTACCGGTAAACCGATCAATCAAGGTGGTATTCACGGTCGTGTTTCAGCTACCGGTCGTGGAATTTTCCATGGCTTGGATAATTTCATTAAAGATGCAACTTATATGAAGATGATTGGTAAAAATATCATTAGAAAAAACAAAACAAACATGAATATTGAATAGTTTTTTTTTTTATTTTAAAGGTCTTGAAACGGGTTGGGCTGGTAAAACTTTTGTTGTACAAGGTTTCGGTAATGTAGGTCTTCACACATGCAGATATTTGGTACGCGCTGGTGCTAAATGTATTGGAGTTATTGAACACGATGGTCAAATTTACAACCCTGATGGTATTGACCCCAAGGTATGAACTTAAAAAATAATTGGCAATTACTAACCACACCCATAAAAATTAGGCTTTAGAAGATTATCGTATTGAGCACGGAACAATTGTCGGCTTTCAAGGGGCTCAAAAATATAAAGGAGAAAATCTTATGTTTGAAAAATGTGATATTTTAGTTCCAGCAGCCATCGAAAAAGTTATAACATCAGAAAATGCTGGCAAAATCAACGCAAAAGTAAGTTTTCGCAATATTATAAACATGATGTGTCTTTTTGAAACCTATACACATTTTAGATAATCGGTGAAGGTGCTAATGGACCAATTACACCAGCTGCAGATCAAATTTTAATGGACCGTGGTATTCTTGTGATCCCAGATTTGTACTTAAATGCCGGTGGTGTAACCGTATCATTCTTTGAATGGTTGAAAAACTTAAATCACGTATCATATGGTCGTTTGACATTTAAATACGAACGAGATTCTAATTATCATTTGCTCGGTAAATATACTTTGATAATATCTTAATTTTTTTTTAACCATTTATTAAACATAAGGATTTATATAAGGAAATCAAATAAAAAAAAAACGTAAAGTACAAAATTATTGCTTCTTAAAAAACATTTAGCAAATAATTGTTATTAAAATTATTCTTTGGTATGCTCTAAGTTTTAAATTTTATTTAACCTTTAATTTTTTCAAATAAACGTAAGCTAAATATTTTATAAAGTGACATAAAATAAAAATTTAGTAATAATTTTTTGTTATAAGGACCTGTTAAATTTTTATTGTTTAAATTATAACATACTATAAAATTGAGCTAGTTTAGGTCCTGTATAATTTCTATATGGAAATGATATAAGGAAATAATTCAGAAATACCACAACTTGAAAAAAATTCAGGTAAAGCAGCATTCTTACACATTTCCTGCAAGGACAAATGTGGAATTTTTGCTGCATTTACTTTTTTACTGTTTTACGTTACGTCTTATCTAGCTAATAGATAAACGTTCTTGTAATAAATTAAAAAAAAAGCTTAATTTCTACAAAAAAAAACTTAGATTTTTTGATCGCGCTTAAAATCGAGAGTTTTGCATTTTTTGAAAAATAATTTTATTAATATTCGAATACAACTAAAGTTAACACAGAAAACCTGTAATTTTCAAATTGGAAGTAAAATCAAAAGCTAATAAACTACTTACATAAATACTTATGCGACATAATTATTTTTACAAGATAGCATAACGATCAGTTTTCAGAATCTTGGATCGATAAATCGGTTTTCGGATAAGCGCTTCCCGTAAAAGAACACTTAAATTAATGAAAATTTCAATTAACTTAAATTAAAAACAAAAAGTATTAATTTTTTTTATACGCATTTATTTGTTAAAAAAAATAATGAAAGTCTAAATAATCCGAATTTTCTTAAAACTATTTTATTTGCTTTGTTCTAAGCCATACAAATTGAAGGATAATTTTATTAAAAAAGGTTCATCTTAATTTTTTTTTGTTTTTTACATTTATTATTTATTCTTTACTATAATTTGTTTTCTTTATTAAATTTAGATTCTGTTCAGCAGTCTATTGAAAGATATTTCAGTGGTATAGTCAACTTTGTCATTTATTTGCACTTCTATTTTGGTTCCATTTTGTTTTGCTTTTGTTTTTATTTTATATTTAAGAATTATTTTCAAATTTTTATTTCTATAAAAATGTTGCATGTGTGTGAGTAGCGTAGCGAACAAATTTACATACATCAAACTTTATCATTTTTATTGAACTTTATAAGTTATAAATAAAATTAATTTTTTTGTTTTAAAAAAGCATTCAATTCATTTCTCAGAAAACTAAAACTAAATCAAAATCTTAGATTTAATCATTCAGATTTGCTTTATTATAAAAATTTTTAATTTTAATGATTAGAATTTTCAATTATATGACAATTTAAATGCTATAGGTTTGCAATCCAACAAAAACTTCTTTTTATATTATCTTTTTGGTATAAAATGTTTTTTTAAAGCTTCAGTTTAACTTCGAGTTTATAAAGCAATAAATTATTGAGCGTAGTAATGAATTTACAATATACTATTACAAATTAACCCCGATTAAATTATTTATTCAAATTTATGCTCATATTTAGTACAATATTGAATATAATAGAAAATTTCTATTTGTACTTAACTTATAAATTTTCAAAATAATTTATTAGGTGCTTGTCACTGAACCCAATGTTGCTGAAAGGTTCGTGTGGCATAAAATTTTTTAAGTATGCTTATGCACATGTATTAATTTTTCCACGTTTTGTTTATAGAAAAATATACAATCAATTCATTTAATTGAAATAGGAAAAATATATTGATGTAAATTTTAAACAAATATTGAGCAAAATATTGAATTGAATTTAGTTGCAATATCTTGTTATTGACTTGAGATCTACATACTTATATGTATTTTTCTTATTTTATAAAATATAAAAATGATTTCGTGTCCTTACGAATTTTAGTCAAGAAAGTTTAATTTCTTGAAAAAATTATTCAAATATTAAAATTTTTAGTTTTCCTATTGAAGTTAATTTATTTAATTGCTTTAAAAATACTCGTACAAAATAATTATTTTCATTTGATATTTACTGTTGCCCAATATATTTTTTTGTTTTGAATTTTGAAATAATTTAAAAATGATTAATAACTTGTTAAAAGTGCTAACAGCATTTTGTAATGCAAGTGTAGTAAAGTATTCTTGTTATAACATTTAACAGTGATTCAGAAATAAGTATTTATCCATTAACATCGTAACAATCGTAAGCAATAAAATGTTTATATTTATTATATGATAAATCTAAGCCATTTCCCGAAATATCAAAATCTTGCAAAAACTTTTTATTTCGAAATCTTACCCTGTTCAAACGGATGAATAGGTAAGAAAATATGAATAAATCAAAATTTATTTTCAAAGGTTATTTTAGGTTATATTAAACAATCTTTCGAAAAATGGTTTCATTTGATACTTGTAGAGTACTTAAATAAAGTTTAACCAGTTTATGGTTCTCTAAACGATGGTATATAATATAGATACTTATTTTGTAATCATCTCATATTCTATAACCAATAAAAAGTAAAATTTTGTAGCTTATTATGTAAACATAACAAAATAAGCATAAAAACATAATTTTTTATATAAATATGTAAATTATATAGTACTGCGTTAAATGCTTTCTTTTTCTTCCAGTGTGCAATTTACTAACAAAAAATTTCAAGTTATAAAAATTTAATTATTTAATTTTATATTTATCTATTTGTATTGATATATAGAATCTGTCCAAGAATCATTGGAACGTACATTTGGCGAAAAGGGTAATAAAATTCCAGTTAAACCATCTGAAGCATTCAAAAAACGTATTGCTGGCGCCTCAGAAAAGGACATTGTACATTCTGGTTTAGATTATACTATGGAACGTTCAGCTCGTGCCATTATGAAAACTGCCCAAAAATACAATTTGGGATTGGATTTGAGAACTGCTGCCTATGTTAATTCAATTGAGAAAATTTTCACAACTTATAGGGATGCCGGTTTAGCTTTCTAAATATCTAAAATAAAAATTTTCATTTATTAGATAAAAAGGTCATTTAAAGAACTAATTAAAATTAAAGAGAGTGAAAGCTTGAAGCTTAAAATTTCATTTTACATAAATTCAAATTATTTATGTTACAAAATTCAAAGCACTTTAGAATAGTTAAAAAAAGAAAACTTTAAAATGCAAAAAATTTAGATTTTCGAACACAACGGCATTTTAAAAATAATTATAATCATTGGTCATAAGATAACTAACTCAAAGCAATTTTAAAAAAATAAAATAAGAGTAGCTATTATAAATATTAAGAATAAAGATATTACAATTGCATAAGGTTTGAAGAACAGAAAAAATCATCTGTCTGCCATCTTTTAATAAAAATTTTACAAAATTGTGTTACGAAAAATAAAAAAGAATTTACCTAACTTCGAGAAACATAAAATTGTTTTTTAAAAACATTTGTTTTGTTTCAATTTATTATGTTTTTAGTTTTTTATTGTGTATGAATAACATATGTACATATGTATGTTGTAATAATTGTAGGAGAACTTGTTCTCTTTGTTCAATTTAATTTAATTTTGTTCGATCTATACTTAAAAAAATATCTTGTTTACTTTTTCAATAGTTATCGTATTTTTTGATTACATAAAATAATTTGTATCATTAAATTCAAGAATTTGTATTTTTTTTTCTTTTATTATGTAAAACAAACACATTTAAAAAAATAAAATGCATTTGGAAATAAAATAAAAAATTTTAAGGTTGTGTTTTTTACTTATATTAAATATGTATTTAGTATGTACCTACTTGAAATAAGCACGGAAAGATAAAGAAGTATAAGTTATCGAAGCTGGTGCTCTTCTCTTAAAAATGTTCTTCTATTCTAAAAATAAACGCATATTCTCTTAGATGGATCACTTGATTCGAATTGCAAAACGTTTTTGAATATCAATCAAATTCGAAATTTCAAATGCTATAACGGAAGCTACGAAAAGTATGTAAAAAAATTACATATTATGTATGTGTCAACACTTCAAGTATGTGTCTTTCAGAATCTGCTTGAAAATTACAAATTTACATGTGTGACAACACAATATAAAGTAATAATGATACAAACTATATACGCTGAATGGTGTTGTTTTAATTTGGAAGCAAGCAACGTGGCTTAGGGTATAATTTTTTCACAATGAAGTTTTTGAACAGCTCGATTTTGTAGTTATTATTACGTACTTTCATATAAGTATGTACGTATGTGCATATGTACATACATTCATACATAAATCTAATCAAGCACTACAAACGCTACTCAGAGCCTCACTTCTGAATTGAGGGTGTCTTTACGTTATTTTATTTCAACCGTCACCTTTAAAACACGAGCGTTACAAAATTTGAATAGCATCACGTAACTTATTCCTAACACCGGAATAAAAGGAAATGTCACAACACCCGAAATGAAGCTTTGTATTTCGACAGAAAAAAATAATAACAAAAATTTTTTTAAAACTTTCTGCATAATTTTTAATTCAATGAATAGAATTATTAGTACACGGTGTTCGTCTTCTAACATTTTAATATTTTGAGGCCATTTGAATGTTATCAAAAAACATCATTAGGTTCCTTCTAGACAAGAACGTATTAAAATTTGATTCAGTTTTCTCAATAAAAACTCGTAAGTGCATTTTTTCACTAAAATGATTGTTTAATTTTTTGACAAACAATCTTTATTTTATCATACACTTTGACGTTGTCAAAAAAGATTTAAATTATTTTTTAATCTATCTATTTTAAAAATTCTAAAAGTGTCCAAGCTTTTTATTTATTAAAATTTTACAAAGTTATTTTAAAATTTTCCGTCTCATAAAATGACGTACAACGAAAGGTTTTTGAATTCAAAAATATATTTTCTGTTATTTTCATTATTATGCGTATATGTTTGAAGACTTATTTGGTTACATGTACTATAATGTAGTGAGATACAAATTACGCTTGTAACTATTAATTTGTAAAATGATCAGAAAATCATAAAGTATGTTTCTACATGATTTCTAAAAGATGAAATTAACATTATTTCTTCAATATTTTGCAATCATACAAAATAAATGAAGTTGACGTCGCGGATTAGAAATCGGAATGTGCAAAGCTATTAATTTAAATCAGTTAATTGTTGCCTTACGACTCATTCTCTTTGCAAACTAATTTTTGGGCAAAGAGAATGAAAGGCTAAAAGGGAAATGAAACGTATTTCAACCTTTAATGGGTCACTATGTAAACAGCTAATGATTGAAAAGAAATTTAAAAAAAAAAAGTTATTTCTTTATAACGTGACAGTATTTGATGTCAAATTGTTTTTTTTTATTAACTTATTATTAAAATCAAACTATTATATTTTCTTCCATGTTATTTCAACGAAAATTTTGATAAAAATTAAATGCTTAGGTTATTATATTACAGTGTGCTAATTAATAAATGTATTCCGTTGGCACATTGCAGGAATCAGGTGGGCCCTTCGTGTTTTTAATTTGACACGTCTGACTTTTAATAAACTTTTCATTGAAAAAACGGTAGTAATGTAGTAGCATATAATTTGCAAATTTTTATAAAACAAATAAAATAGTTACCTACTACCCTTTATTTAAAGCCTAAATTTCATCACGAAAACAACGATAAATTGCATAAATAGTGATTTATTTTATAAATGTCGAAACATTTGTAAATAATGTATGTTTAAATTGTTACATTTAATTCAAAAACATTATAAAAACAATCAGCGCATAAAAGCATTTTTGAAATTTTTATAACCTGCATTTTTGTTATTGGAAATCCATGCGGCTATGTGCACCTATTAAATATACAATTAAAATTAATTAAGTAAATTGGACGAAATTTAAGTTGAATGATCAATTGTAGTTTTAATTATTTAAGCTGTTATTTAAGTGATCACCACAAAGGAAAATGGAAAATGAATTACCATCTCCTAGTGAAATGGCATTGATTACTCCTATGAGTGAGACTTTGCCAAATATTTTGGAAGAAAAACGTGAAGGCGAAACCCAATCTGATAAAGTACATCTTAAGAAACAACTTGGTTTATTGGAAGGTGTAGCAATAATATTAGGAATAATTTTTGGTTCCGGTATTTTTATATCCCCTAAAGGCGTAATTCGTGAAGTTGATGCAGTTGGGACATCTTTAATAATATGGATTTTATGTGGTTTTTTATCAATGATAGGTGCTCTTTGTTATGCGGAGCTTGGAACTTCGATACCAAAATCTGGGGGAGATTATGCGTATATTTTTGAGGCATATGGCTCTCTTCCGTCGTTTCTTTATTTATGGGATGCAATGATGATATTTGTGTAAGTATACTTTGTTCTTGCATATAAAAACGGGAATGAAATGAAAATTAATTTAGGCCTACAACAAATGCCATTATGGGATTGACATTCGCTTCTTATGTTCTAAAACCATTTTTTGATGATGAATGCAAAATTCCGGATGGCGCTTTACAACTTATCGCAGCTGTTACTATATGCTTTTTGACTTATCTAAACTGTACAAATGTCAGAGCAACTACCAAAATGCAAAATATTATAATGTTTACAAAGATTGCTGCCCTTGTTCTTGTAATATTGGTTGGAGTAGTTTGGATGGCAATGGGTTTTGTTTTTAAGGATTTTTCAGATATATTTACTAATCAAAGCAAAATTTTTAGGACATACGGAAAATTTCGACAAACCATTTGAAGATACTGAAACTGATCCCGGAAAATTGTCGGTTGCCTTTTATTCTGGAATATTTTCATATGCTGGATGGAATTACTTGAATTTCATGACAGAAGAGTTGCGCGAACCTTATAAGAATTTACCCAGAGCAATTTATATTTCGTTACCTTTAGTAACTGGCATATATGTTTTAGCAAATATGGCTTATTTAGCAGTTTTAACGCCACAACAAATGATTGCCTCCGAAGCTATAGCTGTGGTAAGTTTTTTATGTAATTTTATTTTCATGGTGTAATTCACGATATTTTAGACATTCGGGCAAAAAGTTATGGGGGTATGGTCATTTGCCATCCCAATTTTGGTAGCTATTTCTGCATTTGGTGGTCTATCAGTTCATATTATGACTTCGTCTAGAATGTGTTTCGTTGGTGCGAGAAATGGTCATATGCCTGCAATCTTATCACATATTAATGTAGAAAAATTTTCTCCAACACCTTCATTAATATTTTTGGTAAAAAAAATTTAAAAAAATTTTTGAAAAAAATTAATGAAAATTTATGTAAATTTTTAGTGTATGTTATCTATAGTTATGCTTGTTATAAGTGATGTTCACGTATTAATTACGTATTGCAGCATAGTTGAGTCATTTTTTATAATGTTAACAGTATCTGGCGTTTTGTGGTTTAGATACAAAAGGCCTAATATGGAAAGACCTATTAAAGTAAGTAAAAAATATTTATTTTTCGAATTTAAAAAAATTTCTAATATGATTTCGAATTTTAGGCACCACTTTGGGTTCCAATAGTTTTTGTTTTAATATGTGCTTTCCTAGTTATTGTTCCTGTATATGTTGCACCATTTGAAGTTGGAATTGGTGTTTTTATCACAATTATTGGGGTGCCTTTCTATTTTGTAGGAGTTGTATGGAAAGAAAAACCCGAATGGTTTAGTGAAAATGTTGGTACGTGTCAAAGATTTTTATCTTATTTTCAAGTATTTATTTGTACTCTTTTTTGTTTCGAAGGTGCTATAACAATCACATTGCAAAAATTATTTTTATCTGCCAAAGAAGAAAAAGACTGAGTTCACATTTTTAGTCTCTAAACTCATTGCCAAAGGACATTTATTTTGAATTAAGTTACAAAGTGTTGCCTGCAGCTCTTGAAATTTATTAAAGAATGTTTCTTTAGTTTCGCGAAATATTGAATTACACAAAAAAGTAAATTAGAAGAATCTCAGTTGACGCTTCAAGTTTTTAATTGACAAATTTGATTATGTGCCATATGACGAAAAAATTTAACTAATGATATTTTTGGTTTAAGTTTCTTATGTATATGTATATATATATGTATTTTAAATTTAAGATTCTCTTCATTAAAAATTTTTGAACATCTCTTGCATGAGTAATCACAATTGTAATCATTGTGTTAAAACTTTTTCATTTTCAAATACGTATCAAAACTTAAGTGATTTGTTTGTACATATGTATTTATGTATTTAAAAAATATTATTCTTATATTTTTATGTATGTATGTAATATATGTATGTATAACTTTTGAATTTTCAAAATATAACATAAAGAGTGTTTTTTAAAACTGAAAAATTATATTGGCATTTTATTTTACGAGTAGCTGTACCAGATGGTGCCTTTCATATAGTGTTTTTGGAAACACAAATTCTTATATTTATATAATTTATAATTTACTATGTTTACTCGAAAACGTTACGTAGAATTATATGTTATTAACATCAAACTTTGAATGAAAGGAATATTAACATCCAGAATGAAAGTTATTTGCTATATGTGTCCTTTACACGTTAGAACATTTCTAAAAATTTGAACTCCCTGTATATAATAATTTATCACAATTTACTTAAAGTATATATATAAAATGTTAGGCAATATTGAGCAATTTTGAAATTTAAAACAAATCGTCTAAATTAATATCACCTTTCATTTCGATTAAAAACTGATGGATGATTAAATATTTTTGAGAGACGAAAAATTAAAAATAAAAACTAAGTTAGTATATGCGCTTTCGGGTGAAGGATATTAGTAAAAAAAGGAACAATGTCAGTCCATTTACATTGTTACGCAAGTTAAGGATCATAATTCTTATTTTTCGAGGAAATTGTAACTGTTAACTTTCTTGATTCATTAGTTATTCGCTTAGCTTAATAGTTTTAAATAAGGTATCTGGATGAAAAATTCAGGCTTGAGCTCAAATTTTACTTTTAAAATAATATAAGTATTGGAAAACAAAAAACTTCATAATGTAAGAAGCAATTATCACCTCTACATTAAAAAAGCCGAATTTTTTCTAAATTTTAAAATTTAATCTCTTGAGCTAAAAAAAAAATAAAATTTTAAATGAAAAAAATTCAACATACATACATATTTGTGTAGTTGCAGACATTTTATTCAGAAAAAGTGTCAATTTATATATTGAAATACATACATATATGGAATTATTCTTAATTATAATAAGGTTAAGTTTTAAGTTTTTCTTCTTAAATTTTGTTCTTAAGATTTTTAACATTTTAGCCTCCAAAACCATATAAAGTACGTCCTTGACGTTTTAGAGCATACACTACATCCATAGCGGTCACGGTTTTGCGCTTAGCATGTTCAGTGTATGTTACAGCATCTCGAATTACATTTTCAAGAAATACCTGAAAATAGAAATGCTAGAAACATTGAGTATTTAAATGAAATTTAAATACCTTCAATACACCCCGAGTTTCTTCGTAAATCAAGCCACTTATACGCTTGACACCACCTCGACGTGCTAAACGACGAATTGCTGGTTTTGTTATACCCTAAAAAATAACAATCATTAATTTGTAAAGTTTTTTTTTATAATTTTGATTAAAATTTGTTTGTTGTTATTAACTTAAATTATATAAATATATACGTATAATTAAGTATGCAAACGTGTTTGCTAAATTTCATGTGTGAAACAGAAACATATACAGTACATGTACAAGAATTGAACTCAGGCGTGTATTGTAGCCATGAATGAATCAATTTGTGCTTTGAGGCGGAAATCTTACTGTAATTTGCGTCCAAAAGCATTGCTGTTATAGAAGATATGAGTAATATAATATAGCATTAGACTACCTAACTAACAACCTCATCAACAGTGATGAATGCAGAATTTAATGTTTAAACTCTGAGCCTTAATTTTTTTAGCTGTGACGTACTTCTTTTTTTGGATTTTTTTTTGTAGTAACATTTAGTTTTTGATTTTATCTTATGTATAGCATAAAAACAATTTCTTTTTTCTGAGAGCTTCATAGTGTTTTGATTTATTCTTTCACGAAAATTATGATCAGCTTTTTATTCTGATAACTTTATATATGTATACATATATGCATATATGTACATATATTTAAGCATAATAGACACAATGTTAAGTACTTTTGGGGAAATGTTATAATTTCACACAGGATGTATAGGTGCAATAGGTGTAATATTTATTTGTGTAATATATGTGCATAAATATATGTATACAGGGCCATACTACATAAGTATAAATATATATGTATACCACGTATCTATGTATGTATGTATATTCACAAATTAGCAATTGTTTTACAGTCGACCACTTTTTCTAGATTTTCATTTTATAATTTTTAGTGCACAACTATTCAAATAATTTCTGTTTCCTACAATTTGATATATACTTATGTACCTCCCTAGTTTTCAAGACTTGTAACTCATTAACAATAATGGAAGTCAAAATAGAAGCTAAACAAAGGGAACATACCTGAATATTATCACGCAATACTTTACGATGACGCTTTGCACCACCTTTTCCTAAGCCTTTTCCACCTTTTCCACGACCAGTCATTTTTCAATTTTAATATTTTTTTCCTTGATAAAAATTATTTTGTTTTAATACAGTACAGGTAAATCCAAATATTTTCCAAAACGACGCTATGTTAATAGACTTACTACAAAATTAATAATTTCACAAAAAATTCCCTGCAAACACAATTTCGAAAATTAGGTATGAGTAGGGCTGTCGAACAACTCATATCGATGTATCAATAATTAATTACTATGTTTATATTCAAATAAATCTTTGTTGTATACAAAATTTTAGGCACCGTTATTATGTTAATCAAAGATTCACAGTTAAAATTGTGTTTGAAAAAGATTGATGAATTTGCAAATTACCATTAAAAACTCCGTTTAATTTCTCTTTATTTATACGATTTATTTTATGGGTTACGTCAATATTTAATTTTAATTTTTCATTCGTTCTCACACAACTTACATACTTCCATTCTTTAACCTATCAATCCTTTATTAAATGCTCTCGTCCACACTTGATGCGATTTTTCCAACAACCTTAGATTCATTCAGCTTATGGTTATAACCTTAACATCTATTACATACTCCCACATCGTATCTTTCAAATACGCTCTACATTTATCTCATCCTTTCTTTATCTTCTTTCATTCAATATATATTTCTAATCCTTCAAATTTGTTTCTACTATTACATATTTTGTTCTGTCGTTTGCTTTAAATGCTTTTATTATTTTAATTTCATTCTCTTTTTAAATTTGAGTTTTTGACACAATTTTGCTTATCATATCTAATTCTTCATATTTTCTGCAACCCCTATTATTTTCATTTTTGGATTTCATTTTTTGGAACGGCATAATCAGTTTTTAATATGTTTTCTACTTACAACTTAACGCTTTCAATCGATTTAACATTTTCACCATAATCGCAACAGACCCATCCTTATTATTTATGATACCAGTAATTTTCAAATTGTTGTCTAATTTCTAATTGTGTGAATATAGCGTCTCATATAGTATATATAGTAAATATTTAGCAATCATATAGATTGCGGTATTTTAGAAGAATATGAGAATATCAATTATTTTGTATCGATATAGCCATTCAGTTAGCCACAACCAAGCACATAAAAAATTATATTCCTCAGAACTTTCATGAATTTCGTTTGTAGCTCTAAAATTCGGAAAATTACGAGTATTAAATTGTCAAATATCAATTACGAATTATTAAAATTCTGTTCTGAATTTTCATAACTGAGTAATCAAAAATTACGTTCATAGTGAAAATAACCCTCAAAAGTCTACGAAAATACGTAACAAGCAATTCAAAGGGAGTAGTCGTATTAAATTTGCAAGTTTTGAATTTTCCTATTTGAATTTAAGTTACTCTAACACAACTTACATGAAGGGAAATTAATTTACATTTGCTAAAATTTTGTTTTTGTTTTCAATTCAAATTTTAAAAATATCCTTTTGTATGAAAGTTGACAATTGGAATAAAATATTGATATTCCGAAAAATGATGTTGCCATTGGTGATTAACAATCTCTTCGAAAGGAACTTGTCAGTCATATGTTGCTCTTTTTGAACGATTCATTGGTATCAATATCAACAAAGCTACGACTCTAAAAGAAAGAAAGCTAAAGAATCAATTCATACTAAAAGAATTATATAATATTTTTAATACTTGTATCATTACAGAAATTACTTAATATATTTGTACATGTATTCACATATGTATATTTTTTTCATATGTGGGTATGTACATATTATATTGTATGTGTTCGTTCTTATGGTTTTTATATGAGAAATATAGCAATATTTCAAAATGAAAATATTATATTGCGTTAAAAATAACGCACTTTTGAAATAAAAATTCAAACACTGTGGATATGCAGGCAAAATCTTAATATTAATTTTAAATAAATAAAATAAACTTTTTAGACTTATGATGTAACTGGCACATTTGGCTATGGTAAATTTTCTAATGAATATTTTTGTGCAAGTTAGGGAAAATGAACGATTCGTATGATTCGATTCTTTAAAAAGAATCATTGCGATTACGTCGTAGGATAACTCATATTTCGTGAAGTTCTAAGAGTGCAATTCATGATAGGGCTGCATGTTGTTCAGGAGTAATATAAAAACTTGAATAGTTTACAATGAAAAATATAGCATTGCATTTGTCCGTAAAAACAATACAATATTACTAGTACTATCTTGAATATAAACTTATGGAATACAAATAAGCAATCAAACAAAACTAAAAATTAATAATAATGTTTATGATAAAAATTTTAATTGAACTCTATTTTTATTTGTTTTTATATTGTTTTTTGCGAGGGATATTTTATTTTGTGTTTTTTAATAAAGGATTTCAAAGCGAAAATGAAAATGAGTTCAAACATTGGTTTGAAATGAAAGAATTAAAGAAACCTCAAATAGTCACTAATGGCATTCGTTGCATCCCTGATATTTCTTCCATATTCAAGAAAAAAAATTAAACAAAAAATGACAGTTTTTCAAATTCGAATTGTTTTCTTTGTTTTTATTTTCACAATTATGTGCAGTAATTGGCGGTAACTTTTTTATGAAGTTATTATACATGTTAATACTCCTACACAATTTTAAACTTAAGCCACTAAGTTCATCTTTTATATATGCAACAGAAATTTTATTGAAGAAATCTGTTTTGATACAGTAATATTATGGGAACTAGAGTTAATATAAATTTAGAAAGCCGATACGAGCGCGTTGTTATACTTATTGACATGGATTGTTTTTATTGTCAGGTTGAAGAAAAATTAAATCCTGATTTGCTAGGAAAACCAATAGCTGTAGGTAATATTTATATCAGATTGTTGCGTCAATTTATTTAAATGTTATCAATTTCAGTGCAATACAACGCGTGGCGAGGCGGTGGAATTATAGCCGTCAATTATCCAGCTCGAGCTAAAGGTGTCACAAGGCATATGAGAGGAGATGAAGCACAGGAACATTGTCCTGATATTAATTTGGTTCGGGTGCCGAATGTAAGAGAAAAAGCTGATTTAACAAAATATCGTGAGGCGGGAAAAAGTGTCGCTGAAGTAACCCTGTGAATAGGCAACAAAACTTTTGTATCAAAGTTACTAATTTTTTTTAGGTACTACAAACATTTACACCTCTTTTGGAAAGAGCTAGTGTGGATGAGGCGTACTTAGACATAACTGAACAAGTAAAAGCTCGTTTAAAGGAAATGAATGAAGGGAAATATAAAATTCTTCCCCATTCTCTAGAAAACACGTTTGTTGTTGGATATGAAACCATTGGGTTATTTATACACGAAATTTCTGCCAATCAATCAGATACGGAAAATACACTTCCTGAATTCAATGAAGAGGAAAACAATATTGACTCAGCATATTGTCAAAAATATAACTTAAATCTTCTTATTGGCGCTACCATTGCCAGTGAAATTAGATCTAAAGTGAAAGAAAAAACAGGATACGAATGCTCTGCAGGTATAGCGCATAACAAAATTTTGGCAAAATTAGCTTGCGGTATTAATAAACCCAACAAACAAACAATCCTTTCACTCAATGAAACACCAAAGCTATTGAAAAACTTGCCTGTTCAAAAAATTAAGGGACTTGGAGGGAAGTTTGGTGAAGAAATCATTGCTGAACTGCAAATTAAAACTGTAGGAGATTTATTGCGTTTCTCTAAAACTGAACTCCAAAAAAGATATGATGATAAAAACGGCAATTGGCTATTTTTGATTGCTCGTGGTGTTGATTTAGAAGCCGTTACTCCCAGATTTTATTCTAAAAGTATAGGATGTTGTAAAAAATTCCCAGGCAGAAATGCTATAACGGGTTTAAATACCTTAAATCACTGGCTAGGTGAGTTAGCAAAAGAAATCACTGACAGGTTAGACAAGGATATTATAGAAAATAATAGAAAAGCGAAGCAAATGGTTGTGAGTTTTGTTCAAGAAATCAGTTCAAATGATGTATCCAGTTCTAGAAGTGGAAATTTAAATTCATACGATGCTGAATTGATTGCTAAATCTGCCTTAGAAATAATCCAGAAAAACACAGATCAGTTTTTTAAACAGGATAACTCCAAAAGTTTAAATAATCCTATTAAATTTTTAGGAATAAGTGTAGGGAAGTTTGAAAATGTAACAACTAATCAAACTACTCTTCAAGAAATGTTTGCAAAACAAAAACCAAAAGCAACAATCGTTGCGTCGGTGGAAGTCACTGAAAATTTTAATATACCATTAAATAATGATATGAAGAATAAAACTCATAATGTTACGAAGGACTCTGTATTTAATTGTGAATCTCAGATAAATAGCGTTAACACTATTAAGAAAATAAACCTTGAAAAACAACCTAACTTGAAATTTGATGAAAATTTGGAAGAAAACGACCTTTTAGAAAAGAAAGCTTCAGGTAACGTTAGTCCTGTTATAACAGTTCAAAGTAAGTATGTATAGCATATGCAGTTTTAAAATGAAATTGTATTAAACTATTTTCACATTATCTTAAAATATGTTGCAGAAAATAGAGAAAATGTTGAATTGAATGATTCAATAGAAAGTGCAGAGGTAAATCAATTAGATGCAGACAAATCAATATCAAAATTTGCCCCCCACGCATCTAATTCAAAAAACGGTTATCAGACATCCGATTCACAGATTTTTATCCATACATCAAATTCTAGAAATTTAGAATACACCAAAACTTATGCGGAGTATATGTCTCCACCTGGAATGGAAATTGATTATGTTAAATGTTCCGAATGTGGAACAAAAGTTTTATCTTTCAATTATCAAGTTCATTTAGATAGCCATTTAGCTTTTAAATTAAGCCAGCAATTAAGAGAAGAATATCGGAATGAGCTAAAATCACAAATGCCAAACAATGTTCCAAGTAAAAATAAAAAACATGAGCTAAACAGTTCATTAACAAAAAAAAATGTAAAGAAAAAGAAACAAGATGTCCTTCCGATGGGCAACATAACGAAATATTTGAAACCTTGTGAAAAGCCAATAACAAATGAAAACTTTATCAAATGTTCAGAATGCGGCTTTTTTGTTGATGAAACTAAAATTTTTGAACATAAAGATTTGCATCTTGCTCAAAAAATTAACCAGGAATGGAATTATTCGTAATTTTCTGTTATTCTAAAAATGTATAAATACCTAAAGTTAAATGATACTGTATTAATTTTTTTATAATTTTCTATATTGTTTATAAAGAAAACGTTATACATAAATAAAAGTCTGAATACTTTATTTCATTGGAGGAGGATTGCCAATAGGTTGTCTTAAAGGTGGTGGGGGCCCCAACATAGGGCCCATGGGTCCCATCATTGGTGGAGGTCGCATCAACATCGGTGGAGGTATTGGGCCGTGGGGTCCCATCATCATTGGCGGAACCTGTGGCGGCACCATCCCTAAAATAGAGTGTTACTGAAAACTCCTGTCGATATATATATACGTTAGAACTTTATAATTTACCTGGTCTTGGTGGTGGCGCTCCTAAGTTAGATGGTGGAGGAATTGCAACCCCTTTTGGCGGAGGCATAACTCCAAAGGGATTTTGAGTGATTTTCCCTGCTTTAAAAGCTGCAGTTGTAGCGTCAATTAAATGCTGTGCCTGTTCTTCCATCCATTTCTGATAATAAAATTTAACATTATCTCTATGCTTTCGTCCAGTGCAATGTGTTTTTCTCACACTTGGAGAGTCGTGAGTCAAATATGTATCACAATAATCGCAATAATATTTAGGCATTCTTTATTTCTATGTCACTCAAAGCATTAAAACAACTTTTTTCAACTTTAAGAAACACATTAACTAAAATTTAATTAAAAGTTATTAATTGTATACGGCTTTGTATTTTTGTTTGTTCTATCTATATTCCGTCACTTGTATAAAATAATTATTTCACAAATGTCAACTTCAAACCTATGCTGCAGTGTTGCCAACTCTTTTTAACTTTTTATTCCTCCGTCACATGTTCAGTTTTGAAGCGAAATGCATTTCTCATATTAAGGAAACATAACCAATCCATTTTTTAACAAATGTCGAACTGCGGGCTATTTTTGAACTTAAATTTTTTATGTGGCCCGCATATAGAAAAGATATTTTGGTTGAACAAAATTTTACACTTTTACAAAAGTTTTTCAGTTCTTAAAAAGAAAAAAAAGAAAATATAATTCAAATTACTTACATAATGGCCCTTATTATGAAAAAATCCGATATACGATATGCGACAGAAATATCGTATCGCTATTGTTTTATCGTATAAAAATGAATACGAGTTTTTATTTCTGAAATAAAAGACAAACATTTATCTATTTTTGACAATTTTGAATCTTTTGTGATGTAAAAAATGAAAACGCACATAGACTAATGTAATAATTAAGTGATATTGATACTCCGTATAGTTACAATACCTTCATTAAAATGAAACTTTGATAATTATTAGATCATCAGGAATACTAAATATTGAGTCCCATCATAATACAGAATTTAATTTTAACTCAATTATTTTTATTAAACATAACAACCTTTACTTTTAATTTTTTTTATATTAAAATTTTAATATCTAATAAATTTAATATATTCTAAATAATAAACTTACGTTTAATTTTTAGACAAGTTCTATTAATTTGTCAAGATTAAATTGTCATAATTTTATAATATTATCTTTCTCTTTTAGTATTTCACTCCCATACACTGTATAACATTTATCATGGTATACTACATACTAAAAACTGTTTTAGAAATTATATGAAGGTTTGGTTGATACACAAATTTCTGATTTTGATAACATGATCGAAAATTTGACCCAGAATAGAGTCAATTGAAATCATAAGTTATGTTGTTCCAGCGATAACTGTCATTGCAAAAAATGAATATGTATGTACAATAATCATATGTCACAGTTAAATGTCATAATTTCTTCCTTCGTTTGGCTAGGTGACGTGTATTGTGACCTGCAAGTTTTTTTTTGTTTAATTTTTGATCGTGAATTTTTAAACGAGTTAATTATCATTAGCGGCATTTAAAATGGGATCATTTAGACGTGATAAAGATGAAGAAGATGAAGGTTAAAATAACTTTACAAATATTGTGTATAGCAATGCATTTTAAAAGTTAATTTGTAAATTTTAAAATTTCATACTCTTAATATATGTACCTGCCTCAATACGTATTCGTATTGACATAAAACTGAAAGTACCCTCATTTCAGATTTTTGTCAAATCTGCTTTTAGGAAAAGTTTGAAATGAAGTTAATTTCAGGAACAATTGGCAAAAAAAATGCATCATTAAAATTAAATGTGTAAATTTTCTCTAGAAATTTTAAGTATTTGTCAAACCTTTATCAATCACCCAAATTAATTTTGTAAAGCTTGTCGTTCAATAAAGTCTTTATTGTAAAAAAATATTACAGGAGTCTCTGGTATGTATAATAATTTAGAAAAAACAGCATTGCTTCAAGAAACTCGTGCATTCAATGAAACGCCAGTAAATGCAAAGAAATGTACGCAAATATTAACAAAAATCCTCTATATAATAAATCAAGTAAGTCAGTTGACGAATGATTATATATGAAATTTATGATCTGGATTATTTTAGGGAGAGCAGCTTGTGACTCGAGAAGCAACCGATTGTTTTTTTGCAATGACTAAACTTTTTCAATCTAAAGATGTAGTTTTGAGAAGAATGGTTTACTTAGGGATCAAAGAACTTAGTTCAACTGCTGAAGATGTGATTATTGTTACGAGTTCTTTAACGAAGGATATGACTGGAAAAGAAGATTTATATAGGGCAGCTGCTATAAGAGCGCTTTGCAGTATAACTGATAATACAATGCTTCAAGCAGTTGAAAGATATATGAAACAATGTATTGTTGATAAAAGTGCCGCAGTTTCTAGCGCTGCATTGGTGAGTTCTTTAAAACTGGCAGGAACTGCTGGTGATGTTGTAAAAAGATGGGCTAATGAAGCTCAGGAAGCTTTAAATAGTACTAAAATTATGGTGCAATATCATGCATTGGGTCTTTTATATCACATTAGGAAATCTGATCGCCTAGCTGTTTCCAAACTTGTAAACAAATTAACACGAAGCCCAATGAGTAGTCCGTATGCAGTTTGTATGTTGGTAATTATATTTGAAACTATATTTTATTACTTTCGAGTTTGTTTAAAAATTATAATTAATAATTCTAAAAATTTTACATTTTAGATTCGTATTGCATGTAAATTGATTGATGAAGAAGATATATCTATTGAAGAATTAGGTGACTCTCCAATGTTTACATTTATTGAATCTTGCCTTCGACATAAAAGTGAAATGGTTGCTTACGAAGCAGCTCAGGCTGTTGTTAATTTAAAAAATACAAATGCGAGAATTTTGGCACCTGCTTTTAGTGTATTGCAACTATTCTGTAGTTCTTCGAAAGCTACTTTACGTTTTGCCGCGGTGCGAACACTAAATAAAGTTGCAATGTTACATCCAGCTGCTGTTACAACATGCAACCTTGATTTAGAAGGACTAATAACGGACTCAAATCGCTCTGTGGCAACGTTGGCAATAACAACTTTACTTAAAACCGGAGCTGAAAGTTCCGTAGAACGTTTAATGAAACAAATTTCATCATTTGTTGCAGAAATTTCAGATGAATTCAAAGTGGTTGTTGTACAAGCGATTTGTGCTTTATGTACAAAATATCCTCGAAAACATACCGTATTAATGAATTTCTTAAGTGGAATGTTAAGAGAAGAGGGTGGTCTTGAATATAAAACGTCTATTGTAGATACAATAATAACCATAATCGAAGATAATGTTGAAGCAAAAGAATCCGGTCTTTCCCATTTGTGCGAGTTTATTGAAGATTGTGAACATACTTCACTTGCTGTAAGAATCTTGCATTTACTGGGAAAAGAGGGTCCATTTTCGAATAATCCATCTAAGTGAGATGAATGAAAAATAGAAAAGAATTATAAACTCAATAGTTTTTTTTCCAGATATATTCGATTTATTTATAACAGAGTGATTTTGGAGAATCCGACAGTGCGCGCTGCTGCTGTCTCTGCCTTAGCACAATTTGCAGCTTCATGTCCATCACTGTTGAAAAACATTCTTGTACTGCTGGGGAGATGTCAAATGGATCATGATGATGAAGTTCGAGATAGAGCAACATATTATTTGTATTTACTTCAACAGAATAAAGCAGAAATTAGTAAAAAGTATATTATCGACAAATCCACTTGTTCTTTGCCATTATTAGAGAAAGCATTGGTTGAACATTTGCAAGGAAATTTGGATGAACCGTTTAATTTGGAAATTGTTCCGAAAACCGCTATTATAAAAGAAGATTCGCCAACTGATCCAATGCTTATTTCCAATAGTAAATTAAAGAAAATTTATTTTATAAAAATTTTGTTTTATAACTTTATTGAAAATTTTGACTTATAGTTCACAAAGCTCCTAAACTAACGAGAGAAGAAGAAAGTGCTGAAAGATTATCACAAATACCAGGTTTGCATCGACTTGGTCCAATTCATAAAACATGTGCTCCAGTACAATTAACTGAAAGTGAAACAGAATATACTGTGCAATGTTTTAAACACATATTTGCAAACTATATTGTATTTCAAGTAAGCGTAAAAATTATTCTTTTTAAGTTTACTGCAGTTATACCTTCACTTTTAGTTTGATTGCTTAAATACTTTGCCCGATCTATTATTAGAAAATGTACGGGTAGATCTTACAATACCAGAAGGTTTTATCGCAAGAGCTCAGATTCCATGCCAAAAATTATCGTATAATTCTATGGGTTCAACTTATACTTTAGTTGAATTTCCACCGGATATTGGAAGTAGTGTTGGCGCATTTGGAGCGGTACTTCGTTTCGTTGTAAAAGATTGTGATCCTAATACTGGCATGCCTGATTCTGACGATGGTTATGATGATGAATACATGCTCGAGGATTTAGAAATAACAGTTGCTGATCAAGTTCAACGGTTAAAAAAAAGTAATTTTGCTGCCGCTTGGGATGCTGCAGATAGCGCAGGTATATATCAAATTGTGGTAGTTTTTGTTTTAAAATTTATGTAAAGAATTACAATTTTGTTTTTAAGAATGGGTAGAGGCTGAAGACACGTACGCATTATCAGCTGTTAGTACTTTACAAGAAGCAGTTGTAAACATATTGAAGTTCTTAGGTTTGACTGCTGCAAATTGGTCAGAAAAAGTTGCTGATGGTATGAACACACACACATTACTCTGTTCAGGTATTTTGTTTAAAGTAAAAAACTTTATTCCAAAATAAAATTATTTATTTCAAAGGTACATTCCGTAACGGCGCAGAAGTATTAGTAAGGTCTAAATTGGCTTTATCAGATGGTGTAACAATGCAATTAACTGTCCGTACTACGGATATAGACGTGGCAGAGTTGGTTACGTCAGCAATAGGTTGATTCTTATACTTCACTAAACCGATTTACTTTAAACATTCTTATTTGTCCTTATAATAATAATATTAATATGTTACAATAAAGTAGGAGAAAAAAGATTTCGTTTCTTATTTTGCATAAAATAAAATTTTAAAAATCTGTGTATGTAGTTTAGTTTTAATTATGAATATTATTGCATTTCAGAATATTTTATACAACCATTATTTAACAAAATTTAAGGCTAAAATTTATATGTTAATTTAGGGAAGTAGATATTATAACATGATTTATTAATAGACTAAAGAAAAAAACGTAAGATTTAAAAACTCAGAATATTGTGTATGCATGTAACTATTAAAATTTAAAAAAATTCCCCAAATTGCATTGAATTTAAAACACTCATTTATAAATTGTTCGGCAATATTATTTGACGGTGTTGAATATAGGCAGCTGAAAGTTTTTGAAAATTTGAATTTGGAAATCATTCAAATATAAAAGTTTTAATCCTTAAAAAGCGTCGTTTGTACTAATAAAATTAAATTTTTACTTTTTTTCCAGTTATGTTCGTTTATTCCACTCCCAAATATTTCGTGATGTTCTTATTGAATAACCTATTCGTTTTATTCTTTCTTTGGAATGAACAAACGAAAATACTTTTAAAGTCATGCCAAAATTGGTATGTAATTGGTAACTAACATTATGTCATTTAATTACTGAACTTATGAATTATTTTTAAAATAGTAATTCGCTTTTTAAGTGTATTAACATTTAAAATTAATTTAAATGTTAATCAAATTTATTTGGATGTAGGATAGCACTTATTAAATGCAGGATTTAAATGCAGTATACTGCGCTTTCAAATTACACAATTATTTAATATATTGTGACAGTTTTGCGACGATATTGAAAGTATTGATGGTTAATATAATGAAGAGCCTTAAAAAACCAAACTGTTTGAACTTAAATATGTTACAATAAAAAATAAAAAAGCAAAACATTAATTTTGAGAAAAAGAAAGAATTTGTTTGAATTCGCCTTGACGATTTTTTTTCTGTAATCTTTTATTTCGTATTGCTTTTATTCAATTTTTTTTCTATATTACATCTTTTCATTCATTTTCTCACTCTTTCAAACATTTTTACGATAATCTCAATCCCAACGAAATGTTCTATTGAAAACGTTGTTGAAGTTGTATCGATAATCGAAATTAAAACTTTTATACCAATTTCTTCTGTAAAAAATAAAATTTGAAAATATGTAAAAATTTTGTTCTTATTTTCTACATCTGATCGTCAAAACAAAAGCACCTTTTCTTTTGGTTTAATATGACTAATTACTACTACACTTAAGTAAAAAATGTAAATAAGACAAACACTAATACATTTTCATTCATATTCACGATTTTTTAGACGAATAAAAATAAAGAGATGTTTAATAGTAATACATATTTCTAGTATCATGCCTACGGTCTGTGGAATGTATTTCTGAGCGTAGCGCGACGTAGCCATGAATCAAATATAATACATTAATAAAAATATAACACAACCACAATTTTTATATTATTATTACTTCGATATTATATATTCTTCATACATTCAATTATAAAACGTCTAAAAAGTGAAAACCGTTTCCAAAGAAAAATTATCCTAGCGTATCATAAGGTAATTGCAGCGTATGAAAAACTGATTTGGGGTGACGTATTAAAGCAATATAATCAGGATAGTGCCATTTAAAGATTTCTCGCTTCAGGTTTGCTCCGTAATTTATTATCTCTACAATTCGTCAAAGAGAAGGAGTTTGTGTTTGAGGGAGTTGCGCAAAAAAAAAAACTAATGTTAGTTCCCTCTTTTATGCGATTTACGCATTTCTAGGTAAATACGTCAAGACTTGATTAATTAAAGGATTTTATAATCAAAGACTTTCTTAATTTTACAACAATTGCTTATAATCTGATGATTATAAATGCTATAAAATGTTCTATTTATATATTTTTAATTATATATATTATAATTTTTCATAATTACTTGATTAATGGTAATTTTCTGCACAATCAAAAGAACAAATTTACTTGTACTTGAAAACATTTCACCATTGAGTTGTCAACATTTGAGGATTGAAGAAACATTATTTGCCTTCCATTTACCTGTTCAAACTAATCATGACTATGAGTAGTACTAAACAGTATTTGCGAACAGTACATGGATTGTATGTTTTGTTATTTTTGCATTTAATTATAATACCTTAGTTTTCTTTTTTTTTATTCAATTCACATTTCAATAATAAAAGAAGAGCTATATGAAAAAAATTGTTATACATTACATATTAAAATTGCATTTACACATCAAGCAAAAGTTGACAACCATGAAATTGCAAGAGAATTTCAGTTTATACACCTGAATTTATTTGTTCAAATATACTGTCGTATTAATTTTTTTATTCATATCGGGGTATATCTATGCATATTTTATAAGCTATTACACTACTTAAATTGTTTTTCAAAAACCTTTTTGTAATCCTTAGATTTAATATCCCATAAGCATTATTTTTTTACGAATGATGAAATATATAAATTTGATATAAATTTTCAAAAATTTATAAAAAATAATTCAGCTAACTATGAAAAATTAATTTTAAAGTACTTTGCTGACCACAATAAATAGCTGATCTTAAAAAACAGCACATAACGAAAAAAAATTATTCTTTCCGTTATATCCTTTTATTTTTGTCAAAAAAGTTTGATAAGAATTGGACAAGACTTTATTTTTCTTGTTCGATTTTGATTGGTTTGACTGAACGTTTACACATTAAATTTTCAATCCAATCAAATATATAAAATCGTCAAACTTTGCTAAATGTGAAAACGCTATGTTATGCCGAAAAAATTAAAGTTATGTTTTACTCATAAATCGAAAAATTTCGTCAAATTAACGAATTACGCATGTAAGCTCATGAGCTTTTAACACATATTAAATAGAACGCAAATCTTAACACTAAGGCCGGATCATCTATCTCGGAAAGTGAGAATGACAATTAAAAAAATGAGTAATCATTAATTGGATTTTCTAAACTCATTTGAAAGTGAATAAAATTTGAGCCAAAAAGCGAGATACACGATCAGGCTGTAAATAAAATTGATTAAAATTAAAGAACGCAATACCATATAAGAAATTAATAAATAATACGGTTGTTTAAAAATAAGCATACAGCAAACGTTTTATAATTAGTAATTACTAAATCTAAAAAAACACAGTAATAAACATTTTCAGAAAATAAAAAAAAGCATTATTGAAATCGAATTGAAAATGTCTTTTAAGCATTACTGTTGGTAATACTTGGCGGTTTAACTAAATAACGAAAAAAATAATGATATTATAAACGAATTTGTATTTTAAGTATCCTACTTAAATAAATACTCATTTTGTGTTTTGCAATACATACACAACGTATATTATGTATAAATTTTATTTCTTAATTCTTATTGTAAAAAGAAGCAGCGCAGCGATCAACATCGGAAAAATTTAATCGAACGGATCAGTCAACAAAAGTGGGAATACGAGTCGAGAGCGAATTTTAATCCGTCGGTTTAAATTTTATTTTTCTTTTTATAGACGTTTTACTCTAGTTGGTTATTCACACATACAAATAGATAATTTTGAAAAAATAAAATTTTGTTATAATTAATTTAAAATAATACAATTATGTAGTTTTTTTTTATTAAGTAATATTGTTATAAGGAGATAAAATTATTTTTGTTTCCATAAAAATATTTAACTATATTATTGAATTAAAATAATTATGTTTTTGAATAAAATAAAAAATTAAATTCAATTCTAAATTTATTAAACAAAAATTTAATGAATGTATGTATATATAAAAGTTTGTTTGTGTATATTTGAAAAAGAAGTGAAGTAAACAATAAATATAAAAAAAACCAAAAAGAATAAATTAATATTTTTCATTGTAGGTATGATGGTGACGGAATATCATTAATAAAAATAAATATAATAAGAAAATAAAAAGAAAAAAAATGTAAAATAAAATTTTGTAGTTTTTAAATGAGAGATGAAAGGAAGGCATGACTTCATAATGAATAACACACACACTCAAACACCCATAAAAAAATTTATTTTTTTTTTTGTTAAAAACCTTCTAAAGAATTAAATTTTTCGATATAATTTTTTGGAGTAAAATAAAAATAATTAAAAATTTTAGGCAAAATTTTTTAATTCAACTTCATACTTACGTTTAACGTACATATGTATGCATATAACAAAATGAGTATATCTACCTACCTACCTACATACATACATAAATAATTATTTACATTTCAAATAAATTAAAAATAAAAATTAGATTTTTGTTCTTTTAAAAAATTTTTGTATATACTTGTTTTTTTAACATGCCTAGAATATTAATTTTATAATTTCAATTCTATCTTTTTTTTTTTTTAAATTTCAAATATTCTTAAATATTGAATATTTTTGTGTACATACATATGTACATTCTACATATCTACAAAGATAGTAATATTACATTTGCTACACGATTTATACCAGTTAACTAACGTACTTTACTTATGTATAAGGGTGTGTTTGTTAAGCAACGTTTACTATGATATGATGTGTACTACTATTACGATAGGAATGAAAAAATGTGTTTAAGTGTATGTATGTAAAGTGTATAGTGTGGTATGAATTTTTTAATACGCAGGTCATTCCATAAGAGCTTAAGAATATAGAAATGTCAAATTTAATTTTAGTTTTACAATATGATCATGTGGTAAAAAGATTTTTTCAAAAAATAAATAAATAACAACGAAAAGAAAATAAACAAGTTAAAATATCATGTTAATTTTAAAACAAAATTATAAAACAGAACTGCTTATAAATTACTATTTGCGTAAGTATGAAATATAAATATATAAAAGTTTGTAAATATTATCAGTAAAACTAACTGAACGATCACTTCCAAACTATATTTAAAAATTTAAAACTGAATCGTTATAATAACGAACTTGGCTGTTTGGTTATTTTACAGCTATTCTGGTTATGTAGCTATTATAAAAGGAATTAGTAGTTATTAGTAGTTATATATGAAATCTTAAAATTCCTGTATTTCGGAAACAATTTAAATTTTACAGATACTAGACGAAGGAGATGGAGGTAGAAAAATATATTATTATTTTAAAACATTCGTTATTGAATAATCTTGGGATGCATACTTTTAATCGGATACCATACGAATTTTTTTATTAAATGTAGATATTTAAAAGATTCTTCTATTATTTGACATCAATGACTGGATATGTCACTGATAGAAGTTTTAATTCTAAATGTCTAGCAAATTTTTTTTTTTAGAAACAACGTGAGCTTTTTCCAGATGGCAAAGCTAAAATGTTTTATGTTCCGATTTTCTTATTGATACATTATTGATTTCCTAAAGGTATGCAATTTTTGAAATAAATTCGTATATGAATGAAAGTAATTTTGATAATGTACTATGCACAGGTGATTGTTCTTAAAAGCATTACTTTCACTTGTTGAAGGTAAAAGTGCTAAATTACAAACAATTGGTTTGACCCAGCTTTATTATAATCTAAATGTACTTATACTTAAAAAAAATATACATACATATATAAGTAACTAGATTGGAATTCAATAACAAACACTTATTATTATGCACAATAAAATTTGATAAGTACTAGATCCTAATTAGACACTTAACTTATGTACGTATGTAAGAATTTATAATTACAGGTATTTTGGAATATAATGTTGTTTTTAGTACTTTAATTATTAATTTAAATATATATTTAATTTTTAGTAATTTAATATTCATACTTTATTTAATCTGTTAGATTTTTTAAATTTTACTATAAGTACATACATATGTATGTACAGATGTATAAATGTTGAAATATTTATTAAACTAAGATGTGAGATTATTTTGCCTAAGGTAAAGGCACTACTATAGTAATATCCGAAGAGTTTACATATTTTCTAATTTTTATTTTTGAACTTATGTATGTATTGCTATTTAGACAAATACATGTTTAAAATATGTCTACAGAATTCTGGCGTAGAAATTTTTTGGTATCTCCTAATAATAAAATATTAAAATATCTTCTAACAATTATTGTTCTGCTACTACACATTTTATTTATGCAATAAAAAGAACATACGTTGTCATATTAAGAGATCCCTGATCTAAAATTATTGTAATTATAGTGCTTAAATAATAATTTTCATATTTTTTTCATTTTTTAAGTATTTGAATACCACCTTCAAAATGTAGCCTTAACTGCAGTTTGCAAACTAGAAAAATAAAAAGTATAACACAAATTGGCCAATATTTTTAAAGGTATAAGTATTTGATATATCAGAAATATTAGCACAATATATTAGTAATTGTTTTTGAATATTAAGAATATTTGAAAATTACTTGTTAGCATTAGTTATTAGCATTGTATATTAAGTTATATTGCTTATATTGAATATAATTTTTATAGTGACCTGACCGGGATTTGAATCCGAGATCCTTCGGTTAAAGGACCGGTGTCATAACCACTGCACCCACCAGATTGATTGATTTTAATAACGAATAATTAATTTCAAATTGTACTTACTTGCTATACGAACAAAATTTTTTAAGCGCCTACATAAATTAACCTTACATTGTTATCTTGTTGCATATCTGAAACTTTTTTCAATTTTCGGTTTTAACAAATTAAGTGAAATATGTACTTAAAAATACTTACAATGATTTTTGGAAGTTTCTATAACCAATTGCAATGATCATATGAATTTTTATAAGTTTTAAGAAAAAAAAACGAAAAATCAAATCACTTGAGCAATATTTTATTGATATTACGATAATTTTATCACGTGATATAAAAATTAAATTTTATATGTATTAGTTACGGTTATATAATTGCATATTTATACAAATGTGTGCATATGTACATCCATATATTTATATGAATACAAATTTAACTTTTATCTTCTCTTTTTTTATCAAATGTGTAATTAGCAGTTTCAATATTTCGTGTGTTTTACAGTCAATGATTTCAATATAAATAATTAATAATTCTACATACTTACTAATTGAATCATAAAATGTTTTTTTTTTAGCTTTCAAATAAATGTAGTGGTCAATGGCTTGGAATGAGATATTCATTTTGAAATATTTGCTCAATTTTCTCATGAGAACGTTCTAAATTTTTAATTACTGATATTGATTCTATTTACTATTTTTTTTTTGGTTTTTACAAAAATAAAATACTAGTACTTATACTTAAGTAAGTATGTTAAATGTTGGAGGTATTTTAAGAGAATTTTATATTGATATCATGTTAGTGTTGCTATTTTTCTGAAACAATTTGAAAGAAAAAAACATGTAACGTGGGAAAATGAAATTTAAGTAGGTCTTCTTCTTCTTTCTTAGCATTACAGCCCTCTGTGAGCCAAAGCTTCCTCAGCTATTCTCTTCCATTCACTTCGATCTTGAGCCAACGCGCTATAATTTCTAATATTCATGGTACTTAGATCCGCTTCAACCATGCCCAGCCATCTACTTTTGGGTCTTCCTCTCGCTCTCGTCCCCTGCTCGCGATGCATGAAAATTCTTTTTAGTGTTGTTTCGCCTGACATACGAACCATGTGGCCCAGCCAACTTATTCGTTTGGATTTTATAAATCGAATAATGGTTCGATTCCGTATTAATGCTTCAAGTTCATGATTATATCTTGCTCTATAAATATTGCCATTCATTCTCACTGGTCCGTATAATCTTCTTAGTATTTTCCTTTCAAAAATTGATAGCATTTTGCAGTCTGCAACCTTTAGGTTCCATACTTCGCATCCGTAAGTAAGAATAGGTCTTATAAGTGTTTTATATATTTTGAATTTCGTAGACCCCGTTAAAAGTTTGGACTTCAAAAGTTTTGCATGGGCGAAGTAACTCTTATTAGCAGCACTAATTCGCTCTTTAATTGCGATTGATGAATCCTCTGAATTCGAGAAAACTACTCCCAAATATTTGAATTGAGTAACGCTTTCAAAAGTGTAAGTTCCAATACTAAGATTATGTGTTATTCTGGGCGTTCTGCTTTTTATGAAGCATTTAGTCTTTTTTTCATTTATATGTAGCCCAACACCTGCAGTAGCTTCAGCGAGTTTGGTAAAAATTTCTTTCAAAACATTAGCATTACGCGAGAGTATAACAATATCATCCGCATACGCACATATCTGATACGATTTAATGAAGATAGTAGCTCCAGGATCAATTTCATTAATTGCATAATGTAGCATCATATTAAATATCAAAGCAGATAATGCATCTCCCTGTTTTACACCAGAATCAATGTTGAACGAGTTGGTAAGTTTTCCTTGTACAAGTACTTTCGCTTTTGTATTTCGTAACGTAGCGCATGCGAGTCTTATAAGTTTTTCTGGTACTCCTAGCCTTTGCATTACTCCAAATACTTTTTTCCTATTGATTCGGTCAAACGCCTGTTCAAAGTCTATGAATAGGCAGTGAATATCTCTTGAATACTCTTGTGATTTTTCAAAGATTTGACTTAATGCAAAACATTGGTCCATTGTAGATTTACCTCTTCTGAATCCACATTGATATTCACCTATAACCCTTTCCGCTATTTCGTTTATCCTGTCATATAATATATTGGTAAATATTTTGTAGGATACATTAAGTAAGGATATGCCCCTATAGTTGCTACAAATCTTCTTGTCTCCTTTTTTATGCACCGGGAAAATTATACTATTTAGCCAAGATTCAGGAATAATCTCAGTATTCCATATGCTAATAATTAAATCATGAATCTTGCAATGTAAGTTATTGCCTCCGTATTTAATTAATTCCGCTATAATGGAACCTTCACCGCTAGCCTTTCCATTTTTTAGCTTTTCAATTGCAATTTGAGTTTCTTCCATTGTTGGTTGGTTTATGGTGTTTTCTACTGTTTGCAAAAGTGGCATACCGTGTATTCCCGTATCAGGTTTATTCAAAGTTTCCTGGAAATGTTCATACCATCTTTCTAATATTTTGTCTTCTTCCTTTAATATTTCTCCTTCTTTATTTTTACAGATATTCAGTCTTGGTTGAAAAGCGGCAGTTTGATATTTTACTCCCCGATAAAATCTTCTAGCATGTCGCTTGGAATTTTCTTCTAAAGCTAAAATTTTATTTCTTAGATGTTCCTTTTTCTTTCTCTTCATTATCTTTTTCGCTTCCCTTCTTTTATTTTCGTAATCTAACCGATTACTTCTTGTGTTACATGATAACTGTTTCTTCCATGCCTCACTTTTTACTTCGTTGATTCGTTTACATTCAGAGTCATACCAGTTATTGCTGTTTCGAGGTCCAGAGCCAATAACCTCTTTAGCAGCGTCTTTGATAGCTTCACAAATGTTAGCCCAGCCCTGTGATGGATTATTGTTTATATAAACGTTGTCAATTCTGTGCGATAGATTTTGTTGATAAACTAATTTTAAATCTTCATTGGCAACTATCTTTTCTGTGTCCCATTTTATTCTTTTAAATATGTTTTTATTAGAGTTTATTGTAGATAAACGTTGTCTAATTTTTATTTTAATCATATAGTGATCTGAATCACAATTAGCTCCTCTGCATGTTTTGACGTCTAAAATCGAGGCTGCATGTCTTTTGTCTACCAGAACGTGATCAATTTGATTTGCGCCTCTTTCACCTGGTATCTTCCACGTTTGCTTATGTATTCTCTTATGTTGAAATGAAACGCTACTTATCCACAAGTTATTCTCTGAGGCGAAGTTAACCAGACGTGTTCCATTTTCACTAGTTTTAGAATGGAGTGATTGTAGTCCCGCTACATTTTTAATAAAATTTTCTTTGCCTATTTT